AGGGGAGAGGCTATGTGGAGCACATCGCCTCGGGGTGTGCTGGGGGGCACCCCATCGGCAGCCTCCAGCCCCAGCTGGGAGAGGGGCAATGGAGAGGGGACAGGGACAGTCCCACACCCCGGCCGTGCTCGCCCACACTCACCTGCTCACCGGGCTTGCCAGCCTCACCGGGGGGGCCAGCGGGGCCCGGCAGACCCTGGGGAGGAAGAAGAGGAGCGATGAGGCACCACGGAGGTGGGTGACCAAAGCGGACGAGGAAAGGGGCAACGTCACCCCCACCCTGGATGGTTTGTCCCCTCGCAAGGAAAGGGAACATCCCTCACCTGGAAGCCAGGAGCACCAGCGGGACCTTGTTCACCTCTTTCTCCAGCGGGACCCTGGGGGAGAGGGGACAAGTGTGAGGGGGGGGGCAGTCAGCTCCCGAGCCCCCTCCTCGGTGGGCGAGCGCGGCCATGGGTGGCCAAGGGCTCCTTGATACTCACGGTAGGGCCGGGGGGACCTTGGGCACCAGCTTCACCATCTTTGCCAGCAGCACCCTGCAGAAGAGGGAGAAGAGGGTGCTCAGAGCGCAGCCCTGATCCGCAGCCCAGCGATGCCCCCGCGGGACTCTGCGCCCCGCCTGAACGGTGGGCCGGGTTGCGGCCGTAGCATCCTTCGAAGGACGGGAGAAGCCACAGCGAGCTGCCCACAGCCACGTCACCTCCCTGCTGTCCCCGCTCCAAAGCCACCGGCAGCCACCGGGCTGGAGTCCCAGCCACCCCAACCCGCTGCCATCCCCATCCTTGGAGCCTTCCCCGGCCCCAGTCGGCCGTCCCACCCCCAGCCTCACGCCGGGGTGAAGCTCCCTGCCAAGCTCCCTCCCTGCCAAGCCCCCACCAGGCTGGCCGGGCTCTGGCGAATACTTACGACAGCGCCGGGGGGACCAGGAGCACCTCTCTCGCCGGGTTTGCCGGGCTCACCCTGAAAGCAAGAGAGCAGGATGAGACCCATGACGGGACCACAACACCGACGGGCGCAAGGCTGCAGGCTCGGACAGGCTGGAGGATGCACCGGCGCAGCCCTCCCCGGGGGGGGGGACACACACGTCCCCTGAGCCACCCCTCCTTGGGTTCCTGCTCCACAGGAGCCACATGCCCACCCGCAGCCACCGTCCTGGGTGGTGGCAGTGGCCAGCGGGCAGGAATCCCTCGTGGGCCAGGATGCCCCCATCCGCCGGGCAGCATCACCTCCAGTAGCCCCCCTCCCCAC